TGTTGTACATATGCAGGTGCATTTCGGTCATGATCTGCTTTGAATGTATATGTGATTGTCACTCAAATATGAATGGAACGGGGACGTGTCATTGACAATGACTTGTTTTACTTGGTATTTATCTTGGACGTACGTCCATGGTATTTATCGAGTTGAGAGTATTCACGATTATAAGCCCAGAGTGTTTTTACTGGGCGTCGACGATATTCTTTAAAATATGCGTGTAAAAGATGTGTTTCATTTCATAATAATCGTGATTGGCATGGTAGTTTGGTTCATGCTTTTAGTTTTATGAGAAAACTCGCATTCAATTCAGAGTGCATGGCGAACGTACACAAAGTGGTTCGCAACCTTTCTCTTCTATCATTTACTCAGGATGAGCCCCGATGTTGCAATTCTGGAGTAATCCATATTTCTTTGAGTAGTAGCTTTCGAAAAGCCAAAAATGTGATCGTTAAGTCGTGTACCTGGTTATTGGGCATGGTTTACTTTGAGACTACCATGAAAGGCTTTGAACGATGAGACATGTTGGCGACCGAGAAAGGTTACTATTAACCGTCGTTTATATTTCGGAAATTGCGAATTGCCAGTTTTTAGGGAAAAAATCATCGTTTTTCCGTTGCAATCAGTGCTACAGGTCGCATTTTAACATTGCGGTAATTCACTTCCGCATTGCGTTAAAAAATCATTGTCAATAATCGGAAAATTTCATCATTAGGACACATCATTTTGTTATGTCAAAGGAAGTTGTTCCAGGTCAAATCGTGCTGAAAAATGTCATGGTGGAAAATTGCTTTGCGTCGTGAGTTTGCGTACGATCGAAAACATACCAAAACGAAGATAATGATAAATGCCTTCGTCCACTGTTTCCTCGCAGACCCTACCCATTATTTCACCGTAAATTCAGACGGTATGTAAATCGTATTGTAATAAAATGTGTGTTTTTTATGAACATGTTTGTTTCTTCATTGTAAGTGTCGTTCAAATCAATGACGCATATTTTTTTCAAAAATAAGTATTATTTCCCCGAGCCCGGTGTGGTGAACGAATAGTTTTTTTGGATAATATTTCGTTGTTTGCAAGATGGTTACAGTGTTTAACCCCGAAACAAAATAATTTGGTTGGTTGGTCCTAGAGTACAAGCTCATCCCTTACTTTTCCCTTACCTGTTCATGCCTCCGGGCTTATGATCAGGGAAGTACGGTATACTGTGATGATTCAGATCAGTCCAGTGTGAGTGATGAGAGTATATCGTCGACGATGCCCCTTGTTCAGATGATAGTTTTATTTCAAATTACACGGAAGTCTGTGAACAATCTGCTTGGTGTTCCTGTGACACTTGTCCCATGATTTGCCAGTGCAGC